CCCCAAAACCCCAAAACCCCAAAACCCCTTTATAAATCTTACCAGTTAGAATTATAATAAAATATGGATAAAGGTAAGCAGAGGGGTAAAACTAGCCAGAACTAAAGAGATAGGAGATTATGAAGATTTTGATGTGAAAATGACATTTTAAAACCTTTAGCCACCCTTTATATAGCAACCTTTACACATTTTTAAAGAGGGAAATATAAAATTTAAATTTAATACTTAATTTTAGACACGAATAGGATAAATTTCCTGAATAATTATTATAAGCAGAAGAGAATGTTTGCACAGATTACTAAGTCTAAGTTTGCTAGGCAAGAAGACATTTCTCCTTACTTTAGTACAACAAATGTAAGTAATTTGTATAATATTCTACAGAATATTCATCAAAAGACAACTCCGGTCTCAATATGAGGCAAAAAGAGGATGCGAATAGAAGTTGATTCTAATAATAGTGATGAATCCACAAAAGAAATTCCGAAGAAAATACAAGATGATACTATTCCTTGGGCAGATGACTCAATTGCCATCAGCACTAAAGAGTTGAGCCTTAATAATTTAAAGAGAAGAAAGATTGGGTCCCTCCAAAAAGGAAATATTGATCTTGGTAAGAAACAAATCCTCTCTGATTCGGACTCAGTCAGAGAGCTAAACAAAGAAGAGGTGAAGAATAGTTTCCCCCAAACTCCTGATAAAATTCATCCGGTTAGGAATTTAGATAATCAAGGTGAGCTTCCGATATTTTCTATTCAAATTTTTTAATCTAAAATCTTAACAGCTTTAGACTATGAAGCAAAGAAAATTGAGTTTTTAGGAGACTTGATCAGAGATGAGTTCAGAACAGATTACCTTTCCAGTAAGACACCCCTTATTACTCCGACTCACTTGTTACAGACAAAATATTTAAGAAGAAAGTTGAGGAAATATATCAAAAATTTAATGATTTTCAAACTTCACTTGAAGAAAAATATTCAGATATTGAAAAGGATCAAAAGGAGACACCAGTTAAAATATCTAAAGAGGCAACATCTTGTGAATCTCACCCTACTAAAGAGAACATTATACCATCATCTGAGCTTTGACTTCCTTCCCTCATAATGTTCACAGGTCCAGATATTAAAAGCCACAGGAGAACAGAAGATCAATTGATCAAGTACCTATCAGCTGCCAAAAAGAAAGTATACGTGTGAACTTACTCCATTGGCAATGGAGTGCTCTCTATAGATCTCGCTAAAAGACTTTAAGAGCATATGTAAAGGAAACTTTAAGATAATCACCGACCAGATGCAGATGACCAACTCCAACTTAAAAAGATATTGAAACAACCTCCTTGAGCTTGACATTCCGATAAAATAAAAATAATGACGCGAAAAATCTAATGCACTGAAAGTTCATCTTAATTGACGGTAAATACCTGATAGAAGGGTCAATGAACCTTGGAGAAAAGTCTCTACGAAATTATGAGCATGTCACTGTCTCCCAAGATAAAGAAATAATACGTCAATTTGAAGCCAGGTTTCATAAAATGTGGGAGAACTCCCACAGGTTTTCCTATTACACCAACGATGATCTCGAAGCACAGTCTCCATTGGACCAGAATCAGAAGAAAGTTTGAGAGCAGGAAGAAGTGCTCAGCATATCAGATTCTGGAGAAAGTATCGATCCCTTGGAAAGCAGCTAAAATTTAAAGCATTTTTGAATTAACAAACCATGTAGATTTCTATCCAAATTCTTAAATAAGGGGTTTTGGGGTTTTGGGGTTTTGGGG